CCCATTCAATTGTTCTGCCAATGAACTTAATAAGTCTAAATATATCCAATAGCTAGCACAGCTGACACATACCTATACATGAACCCAAGTCTGACTTTAGGCATAAACCCCAGTGAGTAGAATGAACATACTATAAAGTAGTACCCAGCTGTGCCCATACAGCTTGCTGCAGTCGTCAAATATGCTTTTTTTTTTTTTTTACAAAATGATATGAACAGTTTTACCTTTTTTTTTTTTCCTCCTGCAACTTTTTTTTCTTTTTTTTTTATTACCTAACATTCATTCCCTGGGCATCATCACAACATACAAATGTGGTTTCCCATGTAGGATAAACTGCATAGTGGCTTAATCAAGCATGTTATCATCAATAATATTCCATTTCTACTTTCATACATATGTATACATATATATATGTTTTTTATCCCATGTTTGACCCTCTGCCCTTTCCCCCCTCTCCCATTACACGATCTCTGCTATATACAGTTGTCTTCCAGAGGAGATATTGAAAATGTGATACATGCAATTAAAGGGAGAGGGGTCACGAGTTTAAAGTTTTTAACAATAGGGAACATAGATTCCATTCAAGGTTGGATCAAGGGTGGGTCTCGTGCAGTTCCGCAATTGTAGGTGAGTCTCCATGGAATACAGTTTTAGGAAAGCGGTTCTGGTAAGTAGAGATGATTATCAGTTGATGCGGCACAGCAGCCATCTTGTGATTAGCGGGAATGATGTTGTGGGGATCTGCAGCGTGAGTTCAACCAACCAACTTTTAAGTAAGCATTTAGGGCAACTGATTTGTAAGTCAGGTACTGATAAACAGCCTGTTGGTCAAAAGATGTGTTTAAAGTATGGGCTCAACACCTAAAATCCCACCTGCTTAGGGAGACTGAGTAGGAGGGTTGCAAGTTCAAAGCCAGTCTGAGCTCAGCACCTAAAATCTCACCTACTTGAGGAGACTGAGGTAGGAGGGTTGCAAGTTCAAAGCCAGTAATAAGACCTTTTCTCTTAGAAAAAAATAATGTGGTAGAGTCTTGGCCCTGTCAGTTGCTAACATTTATAACCATAGGCATATCACTTAATATTTCTGAGCCTTAATTTATTCATCTCAAAATGGTGGTTGGATAGAAGTCAGACTAAATAATGTTCTGAGATCCTTTCTAATACTGCAGGAAATGTTAAATTTATTAGTACCCAACTTAAGAAAAACTTGTTTTAATTATTTTCTTTAAATTCTCTGGTCCTTAAAGGTTGCGGGTAAATTGTGTTGGAGTTTTTGATGTTTTAACATTTGATAACAGTCAAAATAATAATCCATTGGCATTAATGGCTCAGTACCAGGTAAGTACGAATTAACATGAACACTTACTTAACAACTTAAAGCTTTTTTTAAATAAAACAAGTTTATTTTAAACTATTTCAGGGGGCCTTGATTTCACTTTATTTTTGGGTGGTCTATGTGTTGAACATGTATTTATTAATCACTGTTTTGTTCTCAGTGTAGAGCTCTTATAGGCTGTAATATGCAGAATTAATGACAGCGTCACAGACTCAAGCTGTTTACAATGAAAATGTATTTACATTACTGGGAAATTTGTCCTTAGCATAGATACACTAAAACAAATTAATTAGTCAGCTGGAATGGGTTCTATTAAAGACACCTTACTTTTTTGCTTCTTTTTTTCTTTTTTGGAAAGGCTTTTGCTATAGGGCACGTGCACTCGCCAGAGAGACAGAGAGACCGAAAGCAAGAAATCACCCTCTGGGGGGATGGCCACTCTGTGATCCCTTCTCCTCCATTCTCCTCTTGGGATCTTGAGCACGCATGCGCACGCACCTGGCGTGAGTTTAAGCCACCGGGTCCGGAACTCGAACCACAGTCGACTACATGGGAGTCCAGGGACATAGCTATTATGCTTACTGCTGGTCCCACTTTTTCACTTCTTTAATCACATTATTATTTTTGCTTTTAGGATACTTGTCCCACTACCAGTCATAAAACTTTAGAAATATTTTCAAAGGATTATTGTTGGATGGCTATTTTTGAAGTAATGTTTTTCTGTTGTTCAGTCAGAACCTATCACTTATACATTATTAGAATTTGATTATGGTCTGACTTCATTATCTAGTAGTGCTACTTTAGGCCTCATAATGTTCTTGGCTATTTTGCTGTTTTTTATTTCCTTGTTAATATATGGTATAGAAGAATAAGATCCTATCCATAGGATGCATTAAGAATAGCTGCTATTGGGGCCAGCAGGTGGCATGGTGGTTAAGGGCACCAGATTCCCACATGGCCGACTGTGGTTCAAGTCCCAGACTTGGCAGCTTGCTTTCTTACTTTCTCTCTCACTCTCTCTATTCCTCTTTTATCAACAAATTTAAATAGATAGATAGATAGATAGATAAAATAATTTTAAGAAAGAATAGCTTTTATTATCTTGATTGCTCTGTGCAAGTAATGTAACTATTAGAGTAAATCTTTCATCTCATTCAATGCAGTCGTTCTCTTTAGGGTCTACAGTTGTGATTTTAAAACATTTTTAGTTCTTTGTATGTAGGAAGTTTTTGGTTATTTTGAACTTTTTTTAACTTAGAATATTTACATCAAGAAATACCTTACCTTCCCATTGCTCTTCTCTTTTCAACTTTTGTTTAAAGTTCTTGAAGATTTTAGTTTACCTTTGTGTAAGAATTCAGAACAAAAGGAAAGAAAGGACAGAGTAAGACATGGAGCCTAAGTAGTGTTCAGTTTTTGATTCTCATGGAATTCTCTTTTGCTACTGAACCACAGACAATGCAGTCTAAAGACTTAAAGGCATTTATTGCACTCGGTTGTATTCAGACTTCAACGTCGTCTTTCCCTTCTGCTGGTGCCCACCTGACCTCTACAGCAGCCAAGCTGTCCTGGTCTATAGCAACATCTGGTGGGCAGTACAGGGAATGATCTAATTCCTTTGTTTTTCTTTCAGCAAGCTTTCAACAAAGGGAATTTGTTCCCTCTTTCTTACCTATAGTTGTGGTTTCTTAGCTAGTTTTCTTCTTTTCTGCCTTAGTGCCTATCTAATTGTCTCTGATGAATTTTTCTTCCAAGAGTGACTGAATATTGACCGTTAAAATGCTTTCCATCGTCATATTTCCAAGAAGAATACTAAATATTTGAAGGGAAATTAGACATTATTTAGACCCAGTGCCATTAACGTCTTGTTCTAAGTATCTTGAAATCCCCTGTCCATATAAAAAAAAGAAAAAGAAAACATGCTTTACAGTTATCTTCTCACTCTTTTCTGAGTAGGATTTCTTTTCTTTTTTAAGTTACTAACTTAAAACAAGACTAGTTTGATTTTGTTTCTCTGAATGTCACCATAGTAGTATATTTTCCTTTTTGTATGGAAATGTACTGTACAGTCGTGTGCTGCATTAAGATGTTTTAGTCGGTGACAGCATATATCACCATAATCCCAAAAAATTACACCATATAGCCTAGGTGTGTAGGTGGCTATACCATCTGTGTTTGTGTAAGTATGATGTTTGTGCAGCGATAAAATTGCCTAATAACCCATTTCTCATAACATATTCCTGTCTTTAAGTGATACATGACTGTATTTCAGTTATGTCACAGGCTATGTAGTTATCTTAATAAACAAAAGAAAAGAAAAAAGAAAGATCTTTGAATTCCAAAACAGACAACTTTTAAGCATTTAGAGCAACTGACTTGTAAGTCAGGAACCACCTTCATTCATAAACTCAGGCAACCTTCATTGATAAGTTCAAGCAACATTTAAAAAATTGTCATTTTATTTTTATTTTTCAGTAGTTATATATGTGTGGAAATTTTTAGATAGGTCATTGTAGGAAGGTATAGAAGAGTTAAAAATAGTCCCAAAGGGGGAGTGTCAAACTACAGAGAATAGGGTATGTGAGAAAGGAGTGCATTGTTTCTTGTGGTCTGTTTTTCATAGTCAGTTTCAGACATGTGGATAGAGACTGACTTTCAGTAAAATGGACAATAAGTAGAGCCATAGATGGAATCAGAGAAAGAAATCAAGAAATCAAGAATCAGGGAGAAACTGAAAATGAGTTTGGGGGGAAAAAAACCTCCTGAATTCAACAAATGGAGGGGAAATTCAGATAGAGGTAAGAAGCAAAATAACAAATGGAATTTTTTTTAAAGAATTATTTTATTTAACTTTATTTATTTATTTACTTTAATTGACCAGAGAGGGATAGAGAGAGAAAGAAAGTGAGAAAGCAAGGTTCCAGGTCCAGGACTCAAACTGCGGTCGGCCATGTGGGAGTCCAGCACCCTTAACCGCTGCACCACCTGCCGGCCCCCAGAAATAGAAAATATTTTAGTTGGAAAATAAGGAAAGGAGAGTTGAGCTTTTGCAACATTAAGTTCTCTTAATTAAGCAAGACTTTATGAACCTCTTTTTTTAAATCCAATTTAATCTGGATTATGCCACATGTATGCTTTATTTCTAAAAGTGGTTTCAAAGTTGTTTCAATTTAGAGTCTTAGGTTTTAAACACATCCAGTTCTTCAGCTGCCGTGGACCTTTGTTTTCCTATCTCATAATAGGGAATAATGGAATGTTCTAGGTGGGAGGTATCATTGAGCATTAACTCAGGGTGAAGCCAAACTGAAAAATCTGGTTTTTTTTAAGGGTTGGGGGGTGCTGTGTGTTGGTGCATGCTGCTCAGATACTTGATAAAAAATTATAAACTTCATTTTGCCTTGCTGAATACATTGGGTTAAAACACATATAGAAATTTACAGTTGGCATGTATGTGTGTTAATTTCTCTTGAAAAGGTTACCGTAATTTTCTTAATATAAGTTGGAATGTTTTACTTGATCTTCAGTGTAGTCAAAGGAAATTCTTCTTATAGTTCATAGCACCTCTTCCCCCCCAATAGAAGTGACGCCACCTTCCCTTGGGCCATTCTGGGCTCCTAACTAGGGAAGTTTAGGGTAATTCTCTGGCATGGATCCTTGGCATCTCTCTTTCTGATAGACTCAAAGTAGTTTGTTTAACCAGTTTCTCTGCTGATTGTAGGACCATGTATTCAAAATGTCAGATTCTTGACTGTGAGTTTCAGGTAAATTTTTAGATTTGAAAGTTTTAATTATTTTATTAATGGAGTTTAACTTCTTGTTATTTCTTATTTGGAGTGTAAAATAATGTTAAGGGTAGTCATACAGTGTATAGTGCAACAATGTTATTAGTGATAGCCTTAAAATACTCACCTGGTTTCCCAAATAAACAAATTACAAACCTTCCATTAAACTAGTGGTTCTCAATCTGGCTGCATATCATAATTTCTTGTGGAAGCTTTGAAAAATACAACTTATCTAAATTTTACCCTAGATTAATAACACCAAAATTGGGATGAGGGGATGGCTGCTACATGATTTTTTTAAAGTTCTTCAGGTGTTCTAAACATACAACTAGACTTGACAACTCCTTGTAATAAACTAGCACTTAGCAAACACACATATATCAAGTAATGCAGATAAGATCTTAGATTTCAAAGAGTTACAGAACTCTTCTGTGGGAATTACTTCAGGTGATTTTATGTTAACTGGGAGCCGCTACATTCTTCTAGGCATGCGGCTGTTCGTGATTGCCTACCAAGCAGGGCCAGTTGGGGGTGACCATCGTGTTCCTAGAGTTATAGTAGGTGATTAAGAGTTTACTTCAGTCAGCCAGCATCTTTTTAAAACCTTTTTAGAAGGAAAGCCTCAGAATGGTAAGTCTTTATTTAAAAAAAAAAGGGGGGGGGAAGCAGTAGGTTCCAAAGCTTACAAAGATCTGTTATAATGTGAGTAAAAATGGTCTGTTTGGAAGTAAAGACAGACAGGATGTCATTGAAGTTTGTCATTTTCAGAGTTCTAAAGAATATGCTGTAAAATCAGGCTAATACTTAGGCTTGTATGGGAAAACTGTTCTTCAGATAATTCTTCACGCTCCCACTGTGTTTTCGGGGGAAAGTATATGTATTGAATTGCAGGGATCATAGTAAAGGAGATGTATAGTAACCATGAATTTGTTGTATTAGAGAGGAATATTAATGCTATTTAAATAAAATTGTAAGAAAACTTTTAAAAGTATCGATTTCTTAGTGGGCCTGTGAGTTGCTTAATGTTTGTTAAAGTGTGACCTAGAACTGCTTTCATCAGAATTACCTGGTTGCTTTTAAAATGTTAGGCCTGTTCCCAGGTCCATTGAATTAGAATCTCTGCTGGAGAGGCTCAGAAATTGTCTTTTTAATAAGCTTCCAGGTGATTCTGATGAGTACCAATATTTGAGGACCCTGCCCTAAGTTCTGCCGCTTACTCATAATGATGCTTTTCCCATTATGTGGTAGTGTTGGTGTATTCAATGTATACCTATGAAATAAAAATTAAAGGTTATATTTATTCTTTTATGTCAGCAAGCAGATCTGATATCATTAGGAAAAGTTGTGTTGGCTTTGGCTTGCAACTCTTTGGCAGGAATTCAGCGAGAGAATTTACAGAAAGCCATGGAACTGGTGACAATCAACTATTCCTCTGACCTGAAGAATCTGATTTTGTAAGTTTCACTTTATGATAAAACGTTTAAAATGATCATATTAGATAAGATAGAATCTTTTTGTTTTGAGTTTGAGGTATTACTTCTTTTCATAAGGGACCTTTTAATAGCAATTCTTTTTTAGTGTCACTATTTAAAATTAAGCAAGGGCAAACCAGTGATGTGGTGGTTAAGGCAACTGGATCCTACACGGTTGACTGCGAGGTCTGGACTCAGTGGCTTGAAAAACCTGCCAGGTGCATGTGTACACATGTCAAAATCCCAAGTGGAGATTGGAGGAGAAGGGATTAAGGTTTGGCCATCCCTCCTAGAGGCAATTTCTCACTCCCCTTCCCTAACCCCCTTCTACCAGCTGTCTCTCACCAGTGAGCTCATGTACCTTATGGCAAAAAAGAAAAAAAAAAATATATATGTAACATTTTAATTTCTTTATTCATATTGCTAAGTTTATATTTTAAATTCATGAAATGATGTGTTTAAACTAATCATTGATATATTAAACATTTGACCAAAGGGCACCGTCTAGAGCTGTATTGGTATCCATGAGCTAGCTACACATGACCTTTTAAACTTAAATTAATTAAAATTTAAAATTCACCTCTTCTATTACACCAGCCACATTTCAGTATTGAACAGCACAGAGGACATTTTCATCATCTCAGTTCTGTTGGACATTGCTGCTCTAGAGAGAGGGAAAGTTATCACAGATAAGCCTCAGATGCATTCCAGTTTTATACTCTGTGGCCAGAATACCCATTCTGGAAAGCACATGTGTAGAGGGCCCCATGTTTAGGCGCTAAAATACCTTGTGATTCCAGAGAATCCTTGAGTGTAGGTTTGAAAAGGATTTGGCTTAAGAGAACCCCACTGTGGACTGCTATAACCACCAAAGAACTTCTCCCTGTCTAAGATATATCTAATATTGGGAGACTCCACAGGGTGGGCAACCGCAGCCTCTCTCAATTATTTATTCTAGAGAAGAAATACTAGGGAGTCTCTTTTAAAGTTTTCCTATTATGTTCTAGAAACAATTAGAACTTATTGATCCTAATCAACAGTCTCTTTTAGCTTCCAGCTGCCCCTTCTGATCTTTCTGTGTAGCCCTGGATGATCCAGTTTCTTTTTGGACCAACCCTGGGGTATGGAATTGGGGGATGGAGGATGGGGCTGCCCACCTGTTCTTTGTTAGTTTGGCTTAACTATCCTGCTTGTGACAGAGCACTGGAAGCCAGTGGTTGCCTGGATCCTATTCATAATCAAATAAGATAATTTATCTTTTAAATGAAAATATTTGTTTCATATATGATTTCAGCAATGATTCCTAACCTTTTTTGTAATACCTAGGATATCTCAAATAATCTCATGTTGTAATTTCTAAATTTTCCTTTTTAAAAAAGTGGGAGTAGAGGATATAAATATAACAAATTGGCCGGATGTTAATAATTATTGAAACTAGGTGATGATACATGGAGATGTATTATACCATTCTCCCTTCTTTTTATATTGTTTGAATTTCTCTAATAAAAGGTGAATAAACAAATAAGCCAAACTTTAATAATGACCACAAACTAAAGTTTATAGAGCAATAAACCATGTATCAGGCACTTTTGAACTGCTTGGCATGAATTAATTTAATTTTCCTAATAATCCTATGAATTAGATACTGTTTATTAGCCCCATTTTAGAGAGGACAAACTGAAGCTTAGATAGTAACTTGCCAAAGTCACGTAGCTTACTATAGTTTTAAATGTGATTAGACAGATATAAATATATCAGTAATTACCGACGGTTATCTAAGATGAGTTATTCACATGGGTATAACAATTTATTCAACAGAAGAATATGGTTACTACATGCAATATGCTAAGGCCATTTTGAACAAGATAAACAGAATTCCCATCTTCTGTAGCTTATACCCTAATGGGAGAAAGAATTAAACATACAAACAAGGTATTTTGAGATAGTGGTACGAGTCCTATGAAGAAAGTCCTATGAAGAAAATAAGATAAAATTATAAGCAGAAGATTGAAAAGAGTGGGAAGCTGCTTTAATGAAGAATGGATTACCTACAGAATAAGCAATAATAGGTGATTGAAAATCTTTGTAGTCTGGCAGATTGCCCTTTAAGTATTATGTTTTCTGCTTTAGTTATGGTGATAGAAGAAATTGAATTGGTCTCTTCTGATGTTAGTGCATGGATTCTCAGAAATGGATATATGATGACAACTGGTAAATAAAGCCACAAAACAGAGGACAGTTTTCTAAAAAGCTGGGATTCAATTCAGTTTCACAAAATTGAAGACCCAGTTTTAGTTTCAAAAATTATCTTCAGAGAGCAACAGGAAAAGCTCTCCCAACCATATCCTGTTTTACCTCTCTCAGAAAGTTTATAACAGGCTTTTTTCATCTAGCATTACTGTAAGAAGGGGTTTGAGAATGGAAATGGGTAAGTGTAACCCTCTATACTTAACTTTCTCATTTCCACAGTAGGAAAATGCAGAGAAGAGATATGTTTAAAGTTTCTCCATTGGCTCTTAAAATTTTTTAGAGAAAAGAAATACAATATTTAAGCTTTAAAAATGAATTTGACTTGCATGAAAAATATATTTTTTAAATTGTGTACACTAAGATAGTGGTGATAGTAGTAGCTCTGTGTTTTTAGGTTACGCTATTGTTTTTTTTAAATTGCATGTTGGGCATTCAAGTGATTATTCTTTATCTTGGTTAGGTATTTGTTGACTGACCAAAACAGGATGCGAAGTGTAAATGACATCATGCCCATGATTGGTGCTCGATTTTATACTCAGTTGGATGCTGCTCAAATGAGAAATGATGTCATAGAGGAAGATCTTGCAAAGGTAAAAGAATTAAGAGTATACACACACTTGTATCTGTGTGCATAAATAGATAGTCACTGTACTGAATATAGTGCCTAATTGGCTAAGATTGCAGCTATTTTTGTCTAAACTGAATGCTTACTATTTTAATATCTTATGTCCCCTGAGGATTGTTTTCTTCCTTTCATTTGTGACTTTGCTACAATCATGAGACAAGAATCTTGGTATTTCATGTGAGTTACTTTAACAGTTCCTAAAAAAGGTCAGCTACATGATGTGCTTGAGTACTATCAATACTATTGAATGAAACAAGCATATTGTTTTTAAAAGTGTAACTGAAAAGTGGACATGTTAGGATTTATTGTTTAAAGGTAATATTGGTCAGTTTACCAGTTTTTGTAAACTTTGATTTTTATATTTAGTTAGCTGAAATACTAACATCCTCTTTTTTTAAAATGTTTTATAGGAGGTTCAAAATGGAAGACTGTTTAGGCTTCTAGCAAAATTGGGAACAATCAATGAGAGGCCGGAGTAAGGATTTACAGTATTTTACAATATGTTTTCAATCAAGGGCATCCTTTTGCATAACAAAAATGAGCATACCTTATTTTAACTGGTTTTATTTGGAAAGAAAATTCTCATGTGAAGTGACTTAGCACTGTGTTGGCTATCGGGGTGCTATTTTATAACCATTGCCTGGGTGTAGTTGTCCTTAGGGATTTTACATGTACATATACATTATATAGAATAATACTATATAAGAGGTCTTTATTGTGATTTGCACATGAAGAGAACATTTTAAGATGAATACTACGTCTGCCCTCTCTTTTTGAATCCTGGTAAATCCATTTACCTTGGTCAGAGTTTTCAGAGATTGCTATTTATTGCATGCTTTTTATCTTCTATTAAAGTGCATTTTTTTCATCCTGTCATATTGGTGACACTGGAAAACCATCACAATTTACACTTTATTTTGTTCTGCCTCGTTGGTAAGTTAAAAGTTAACCATATCCTTATAAGCACAGTTGATGTTAGAACTAAGCAAATGTTCATTCCAAACACTCTGCCAGAGTGTTAAACACCTTTCCTGTGGTCAAAGATAGGTATCCTGTCAGTTCCTTTATCTTTTTTCCCCCTTAGAAAAATTACCCCTGGAGCCTCTGCTCTTCTGTTCCTATCTGGGCTGTTTGCACTTTAAGCTAGTAGATGCTCACGCTGTAGAACTGGAGTTTCCCTTCAGTAGTATCCTGGGAATTCTTACTGTCTCTCTTTTTTGTGTTGGATACTCTGTTTCTTGCTTTTTTCCCCTTGGTTTATTCTTTTGATTTAATGGAGCACATCTTCCTGTAGTTTCCTGAGAAAGGTGAGTTTTTTGAGTCTTTGCAAGTCTGAAAATGTCTTTATTCTATGTTACTTCTTATTGATAGTGTATGACTGTATAAAATTCTAGATTTTCTTCAAAAGTTGTAATAAAAATATTTGAATAGGTTACATATGAACACTTTTTTAAAAAGAATTATTTTATTTAACTTTATCCATTTATTAATTTGACCAGAGAGGGACAGAGAGAGAGAGAGAGAGAGAGAAGGAGGGAAGTGAGAAAGCAGGTCACTAGGTTGGCCATGTGGGAATCCAGTGCCTTTAACTACCATGCCACCTGCCAGCCCCGTGAACATATTTTTTTTTAAATGGAAAGAGTTGGGACCAGCAGATGGCTTAATGTTTATGTCACTGGACTCCCACATAGTTGACCATGGGTTCAAGTCTCAGAGCCAGTAGCTTAAAACTCAGGCCAGACATGTGTGTGTATATGCCCAGAATCCTGACAGAAGAATGGAGGAGAGGGAACTATGGTATGACCATACCCCCTGGGTAGTGATTTCTCTTTCTTTCTCTCTGTCTCTCCAGTGAGCACATGCACCCTATAGCAAAAATCTCTGTTAAAAAAAAAGAGAGAGAGAGAGAGAGAAAGTTTTGTGGCAGGACTAGCAGATGGTATAATGGTTTTGTCACTGCGTTCCCACATGACGAACCACAGTTCAAGTTCCATAGCTTAAAACTCAGGCCAGGCATGTGTGCATGCATGCCCAAAATCCAGAGAGGAGAATGGAGAAGAAGGGATTGCAGTGTGGCCATCCCCCCTGGGGGTAATTTCTTGCTTTCTGTCTCTCTGTCGAGCACATGCACCCTATAGCAAAAATCTCTCAAACAAAGGGGGGAAGAGTTTTGTGGTGAAAAAATCTAAGTCTCTTTGTCATTTCCAACACCCCTACGCCCTCCAATAACCCCCACCAGTCTTTATTTTTAACTTCTTGTATATACTTCTAGAGTTAAAAATGTAACTATGTATTATCTCCCCACCCCCTTTTTAAATATATAAAAATTGTAAACCATATGCAGCATTCTGTATATTGATTTTTTTTTCTCATAACCATTTATTTTCAAAATCTTTGTTAGGTTTAGTATATACAAAGGACTATTCTTTTTTTTTTTTTTTAAAGAATTATTTAACTTTATTTATTTTATTTATTCATTCATTTATTTTAATTTGATCAGAGAGAAAGAGACAGACAGAGAGAGAGAGAGGGAAAGTGCGAAAGCAAGCCACCAGGTCCAGGACTTGAACCATGGTCAGCCATGTGGGAGTGTCCAGCACCTTAACCACCATGCCACCTACTGGTCCCCGATGCCAAGGACTATTCTAAGTAGTATACATTGGCTCTAACTTAATGATCTCATGGTAGTGGTGCCATTATTATTTCCACTTAGTAAAGAAATTGAGACTTAGAGGATTAGGATTCAAATCTAGACAGTATTCTTTCAGAGTCTGTGCTCCTAATCACTATCCTATGTTTCCCTA